CGAATTGTTTTGGATTCTACGCACCAAAATTAATAAGAAAAAGTGTTTTCCCGAGAAATTTTGGTGCAGTCGATTTTTGGTAAAAAAGGAAGGTTATTCACTGCCTTTTTTTGAGCCCCGAAGAAAAAATCGTCTCAGATCGACCTGGAAAAAAAATTTTCTTATAGAATGTGGCCTGTAGAATCCATAATTTCAAACAGTTCCAAGATTGGGCTACTAGTTCAAAAGTTACAGCCCTTTGAATTTTCTTTCGAAATTTGTTTTTTGTCCATAACTTTTTATTGAGAGGTCTAATCGAAAACGTACGAATTGTTTTGGATTCTACGCACCAAAATTAATAAGAAAACGTGTTTTCCCGAGAAATTTTGGTGTAGTCGATTTTTGGTAAAAAAGGTAGGTTATACACTGCTTTTTTTTTAAGCCCGCGAAAAAAATTGTCTCAGATCGACCCGGAAAAAAAATTTGCTTATAGAATGTGGCCTGTAGAATCCATAATTTCAAACAGTTCCAAGATTGGGCTAAAGTTCAAAAGTTACAGCCCTTTGAATTTTCTTTCGAAATTGGTTTCTATTCTATAACTTTTGATTGAGAAGTCTAATCGCAAAAGTACGAATTGTTTTGGATTCTACGCACCACAATTAATAAGAAAAAGTGTTTTCCCGAGAAATTTTGGAGTAGTCGATTTTTGGTAAAAAAGGAAGGTTCTCAAAGTATCCAAATACTTTGCGAAGGATTCGAATACTAAATATTTGTGAAAGTATTTGAGTTACAAATACAAATACTGCTTCCATAAAAGTATTTAATTACAAAGTATTTGAATACTAAAAAGTATTTACAAAATCGAATACTGCCCAGCTCTGCCGCCATTTAAATGCTGAATGAAAATCGGTACATCTGTATGAAGGATCGTATGAGTTACATTATAATCTGATGGTGGGTGTGTGATTATAATGTAACTCGAGTAAAAGTACTATCAGAGGGGTTGTAGAAATGCTGGACAGTAGGACAGTGAAACTTAAATCAACTAAGCTTGAAAAGTGAGAGATCAAATTGCATCAACTCAACCAGAAATGTTGAGTAACACTTTAACACAAAGCCATTGGTAATACTGTATATAATTAAGAACGATTAATTATTGCACAGTAGGAAAATGGACGGCATAAAATTTGAATTTCCCACGAGTTTGACATAAGAAATCTCATGCTTTTTTTCTAAAATTGGGGGTAAATATATGATTTAAAAAAACTGCCTCCCGAAATTTCGAAATATAAAGCGATATTATTCGACTTTGCAGTACCTATAGTAATAGTAACACACATCTTCGATGGCTAAGAATTTGGAACGTGTGACACGTGGTGGTCGGCAATTCTTAAATTAGTTGATCCACTGACGCATACACCCGAATCTTACACAATTTTTAATGATCGTTGCACATGCTCGCACTATATTATAATGGAAATATAAACAACTTCAGGTCAAGAGCAACCTATTTTGGGTTTTCTTTGCCAAATCACACTTCTTGTCGATCGACTTTGTATAAACGTTTGGGTTAGAATTTCCACCAAAATTAGGAGTTTAGCTGTCTGATAAAAATGTATGGTATGTAAAAACTATGAGCCATATGCCATCCCAACAAATTAGCTGCCTGATCTATTGCAGTTCATTGTCACAATTCAAACTTATATTTATAATCGGCCTTGTAAACGATTTAAAATAATTGCATGCGTTAAAGGCGTTACAATTTTCTTAAATATTAAGCTACTCAAATTTGCATTTCTATTGTGAGCAATTCGCCGATACCATGTATGATGAAAGGATAACTGAATTGATCAAAATTAATTTTAATTGAATGAATGTATACAAATGGTACCTACACAAATTATGGCTCTACTTTACACACGTTGATGGTCGTCTCAGAAAACAGGCACCGTTTAGATTAGAACCACTCGAAGTCTACCTGTCGACCTTCGAGCTGACAAGTGATTCTGATTTTTTACAGAAACCGGAATTTGTTATTACTGAAAGTAAAAGGGATCTTCTTCACGTAACTGCACTTGAAATTTCTTAGCCATGGCCATCATTATTATGAGAGACGTTTAGGTCTTTGCCAGCGTGAAGGTTATTATTAGAATTAGGATATTGGACAATCTTTTTCAATACTCCGATTAACTGATTGAATGTGCAATATACATCTTTGCTAAAATACTTGACCGTTGATTCGAGTTTTGTGGAACAAAACATATTTATCGTTATCTTACACAAACCTACGTCTGACTTGATAAATCTCGAAACACTATGACAATAGGTATACGACGTTGTGGTATCCTAGTTTTTGCCTTTTTCCATAGAGCTTCCAGGTTTCCCCACTTCATGGGAGGTCAGATTGCCGGCGCGGCCACGGATAGTGTTTCAAACTCTCCAGTACCAGCTCCGGGAGTAGTTATTGAATTAAAATTGAAGACTTGAAGACATCTAATGCTTCGTCGTGGTCACGATATGAATACTCTCTTTATCTGCGAGTAGCTCCAAATTTACTTTCAACAAAATAATGTACTTCGGATTTGGTTGGGGGGATGAGGGTTCCAGCATTAAGCGGGTTTTTCATTCTAGCAGTAATTTGTTATGTATAGCGCAATAGTTTTTTATGGCGAAAGATTGTGCATAAATAGCACGTTATTTTGGTCTGTATTTTAAAAGTGTATGGAGCATGAAAGGGAAAAACGGAGAAATTTCATCTTTGGTAGCAAAACAACATGTAACCAGGTCATATCGAACGCTTACTTTTCTTTAGGAAAATATTGAACCGAATTTTTTTGCAATCAGAAGGTGAATAATGAGTTCCATCGTTCTAAGTGTAGATTTTTCTGAGAAAAAAATAAAAAAGAAACCCAAGCTTTGTGACTGTTGAGATATCTTACAAAATCTTACAAAAAAAATTGTTTTTTTCGCCAGTTTTTCAATTGTATCTATTGATGTAATCGTACGATCATACTTTTACTTGCTGTTTAAAGACTCTTCAGAGCCGAATCTTTCAGAAAAACTCTTTTTCCGATAACTTCCAGAAGCCGTTTTAGATGCAATGCTTATTACAGCCTTTGCTCTTTTTTTTAAATGAGTTTTTCGGCTGTATCTTTGGATGTAATGGTAGGATCGTAATTTTACTTACTGATGTTACAGACGCTTGAAGACATAATGTCTCATAAAATTGATCTTTCAATATCTGTATCATAAATAAGTTTCTTTCGATCGATTGTAGAGGATAGGCAAGAGACTTTGCTGTTTTTTGGATCAGTTCCTTTAATGCAATTGTGCGACCGTAATTTTGGTTGGTTATTAGAGACTTTTCAGGGCATAATCTTACAATAAAAATTGTTTTCCGATATATCTTCGATCACTCATTCTTGAATCAATTTTTAAGCTTAGCTCTTGTAATTTTACTCGCGGTTCCAGACTCTTCAGCGCGTAATCTTTTGCATCGAAAAATCGTTTTCCGATCCATCTGAGATCCGAGACAAGTCGTCTTTCAGTCGGAAACTGAGTCATTTCTAATTTGACTGATAAGGTATGTTAAGTGTCCAGTGCTTTCTCTCAATACACACAATAACACTCCAAATGCAGGTGTAAAATTTCGTTTTTTGTAACCTAAAATTGGAAATCCGGATCTTCGGTAATATTGACGTTTAATGGAAGTAGAATCACAAACCAGCATAAATCTGAAATCGACCAAATAGGTTGGTAGCTTCACCTGAAAAGTTGCTTACATAATAACATAACCAGATAATGAAGTTAGGTCAAGCATAATTTATTTAATTTCGGGAAAGAAAAAAAGTAAAGTTAAATTTTGCATGTAATGAAACAATTCCCAAGTTGCATTGTAACCACGAAATTACATAGTAATTGTAATAATCTGATCCTTGTCCTTGCCTGCAATTTATACAAAAAAGGATTTTTTGAAACAATTTATCCTATACGAACAATTTGCTCGCGATTGTATTTTTTATCCACAAATCTTAATGTTCAAATCGTAATTTTTAATCAGTTCATTGCTCAACAAAACGAGAAAAAATGTAACGGAAGTACAAATTGACCAAGATTATATAATATACGGAAGTTATATATATATACGTTTTTGTTTTAAAACATAAGTCACTACCAAAAAAACGTTGTGGGCATCTAATGAATAAGAAAACCAAATTAAAAGTCACTTTATAATAACTGGGGACAGTGCGTTATCTTGTAGAATTAAAAGATCGTTAAGAAAGCAATAATTACTGACGTTAAATTGTTTTGTATTTCCATCTTAGAGCGAGGCGTCGGAGGAATTGAAAGGAGCAGCAAGGTTTTTTAATTTTGGTCCCCAAGGTCGAAGACTTTACCTGGTAGTTATTTCCGATGTGACGTCCAATCTCAAATTTTATCATTTATCAACGTGGATGTGGTCAATCGGTTTTTTCAAGGGCCTGTTCAAATTATGGAAGGATTTACCTGCCGATCGAAATTGAAATATCGAGAAAATGGCAAACGTTTATGCGATCGACAATCGAAAATTATAAATGCACATAATATTTTCTATAAATTCACAAGTTCAGCAGGAACCCCCCCCCCCAGGATTTTTTGTGCAGAATTAAGAATAAGCTCGAATAAAATTTTACACGTTTCCACATTTTATCTTCTCAAAGGTATTTCAACGGAAGAAGTAGTACGTATAATTAGGAAAGGTTGATTTTTTAGAAGTTTTCACCTCGGTTTCCCGATCAGTACTTTGTCAAACATATCAAATTACTCGCTCGTGCGAATTCTATTTGTTGCAGTTTATCTCTCCCAACGTGACTTAATTTTCTCATAAGCACCACATAATCTATGCAAACACGTAATGGTGCCGTTAAAAATTCTGAAACGTAATTAAACACGTCGTGTTTTTCTGCAATAAAACGATACCGATGCCAATAAACTACTTATAACTTATCTTCATTACATAGAAAATTTTGTTCATTTTCCAGGACGCAAAACGATTTTAAGGAACATAAGCGGAACATTCGATGCCGGCAATCTAACAGCGATAATGGGCCCTTCGGGCTGCGGAAAGACGACGTTAATGAATATTTTGGCGGGCTACACGTAAGTATTTTTTTCAATCAAGGCAGGATGAGTAGAGCACAAATTTTGTGACAAAAAACGATAACGAGGTCGTTCGTTGGCTTTTTACCGCGTTTCCGTGCACTGGAAGGTACTTTCGGTGCAAGTGTACCGACGAGTGCGCGTGTACCTGCAGGTTGAGTCACCGATACAGGTGTTGGTAACGAGTGGTACTATCCTCTGTGTAAACACTTTCGTTGTTTCCAAACATTTAACTGGATAAACTGGTTTTGCCACCAATTGTATGAAAAAATTCAGAAATTTACGCTTTTTCAGTATTGGAAACGTTGAAGGGGAGCTGCTTGTAAACGACGAGCCGCGTGTCGAATCGTCTTTTAAGAAAATAATGTGCTACATTATGCAAGACGATTGCCTTCAACCCCTGCTAACAGTCAAAGAAGTCATGATGATTGCAGCCCGTTTAAAATTACCGGACACTGTCAGTAGGGAAGAAAAGAAATTAAAAGTATGCCCCTCATTCTTTAATTGGAAATGATAACGTACCATTTTATTGCAGATCCAAGAGACACTTGAGGCTATAGGTTTAGATGTGTGCTGTGACACGCGTACTGGTTCATTATCAGGAGGGCAAAGAAAAAGACTGTCTATAGCATTAGAGTTACTACGCAACCCCCAGGTCCTAATTCTGGACGAACCTACCAGGTGAGCCTTTAACTCAGCATCAGTCGTGCTGATACCAGTTTTACAGTGGGCTCGATAGCTCTACGTCAAAGCAATGCATTATGCTTCTGAAGGAATTGTCGGCAGAAGGAAGAACCGTGATCTGCACGATACACCAACCAAGCGCATTGCTCTTCGAACTATTTGACCATTTATACGCTCTCGCTGAGGGCTGTTGCATATACCAAGGTTCGATCAAGGGAATGTTACCGTACTTAGCCGACATAGGCCTGAGGTGCCCACCATACCACAACCCCGCAGACTACTGTAGGTATCCGATGGCAAACTCCATTCATCATTCGCATTTTACAGTATTGGAGGTTGCGAACGGAGAACACGGCAGTTTCACTAACGAGCTCGTTGTGAAATCCGCAAACGGCAGGCGCGACGATTGGAAGAAAATACACCGAAGCACTTTACAAGTTCACTCCATGAACCACATAGGTAAAAGACCACCATTAAACCTGCCCTAATTCCCTCAGTGCAGGTACAATGATGGACCGTGGACTCATAACACCAGTCAAAGCGCCGCCCTTTAGATTTAGTCATTCAACCCCAAGAAGAGGAAGCTCCTCGTGCCATTCGCCCAAATATCCCACATCCTTCCCAAACCAAGTCGCAGTCCTACTAAAACGTTCCTTTTTAGTACTTAAAAGGGACCGAACCCTTACTTACTCCCGCATCTTAACCCACTTTGCCACGGCATTATTTATAGGCATTTTATACTACGGCATCGGAATCGACGCCAAAGATTTGCACAACAATGCCAACTTTATGTTCTTCAGCATTATGTTCCTGATGATGACGTCATTTAACTGCGTCACACTCACATGTAAGTCTCTCTTATTTGCTATCTGCTGGTGTAACGTTAGCTTAGTTCCAACAGAAGTGGCACTCATCAACAAGGAACACTTCAACAGTTGGTACTCCATAGGGTCCTACTATTTTTCAAATATGATATCCGACCTACCGATTCAGATGATCGCAACTTTAAGCTACGCCCTGGTCACCTTCTACATGACGTCGCAGCCTAGAGAAGGATTTAGAATAATGTACTTTCTGATCATATGCATACTGATATCGCTCGTGGCGCAAAGTTTCGGAATGCTAGTCGGATCGAGTTGGGAGATGAAGACCGCGATTATTATCGGCCCGATTTGCTTTTTACCTTTCACGATCTTCTCGGGATTCTTTGTGCAGTTTCACGACGCCCATCCGTACGTGCAGTGGATCTTCCATATATCCTACCTCAAGTACGGATTTGAGGGATTGATGTTGGCCATATTGGGATACGAACGTGAGAAATTACCATGCGAGGCCGACTATTGCCACGTGAGGTACCCGCAGCAGTTCCTCGAACAGATGGATATGGAAAATGCGGTCTATTCGCATTGTGTTTTCTTCCTCATCGGCCTGCAATTGATTTTTCGCATCGTAACTTATTTCGTTTTATTACTCAGGGTGAGGCGGAAATAATCATCTGACTGCTTAAGTAGGTAATAACTGTATGTGTTCAACTGTGGCCAAACACAAAAAATCAAAAATGTGTAGGTACATTCCAAAGGTGATATTGTATATAATTGTTTAGCCAAATTTTATTTATAAATTTTATTTTTATATTGTTAAGGTACTTATTAAAGTTATTGTGTTGGTACTGAGAGATCTTTTTGAAAAGATCATGCTGTGACCTGCACAGTTCGAGTGTAAAGTAAGCTGCCTAATAAATTCCCAGATGACCTTGTTTTGGTTCCTAAACCGTCTTGGGTGAGCATTTAGAATCTCGCTTTACCATAGGTTCAAAAATTGAAGAAAGTGATCATGCTGATCTATAGTTCTTTGGATCTTATAGAAAGCTACCTAGAAAAAAAAAACAGAAAACAGCTGTGCATTTTTCATACACCAGGTCTTCAGTAAGTTTGATGAATGTATCCTAAAGAAAATATAATGCAAATGGATGTTAGCTTTCAAAAAGAAGAGCAATGAAACATATAATCTTCTTTAGGAATTTAATGATCTACTGAGGAATTTTGCGTTCCTTATAATAAGCACACGTGCACGTTTAGTTGCTCACCGTACACCATTCACGCAAGAAATTTACACAAATTGAACAACTTTTTATTCTTGAGGCAAAGTTAGTACATTAACCAGGAAATTGTCAAGCGGGGAAATTCAATTTTCTGGTCTACGAAGATTTAGGAGACAAATTTTCAGGCCAATATTCCCCCTTAGGAGAATAAAGAATGAACCTCAGGCGATATCTTTTAGATTTAGAGAATATGGCGGGCGCGTACAAGGTTTAGGTAATGGTTATCATCTGTCCCAATCTCGGGAATTATCAATTTTTCCATTCCTTGAAAGGATTTTTTCAATCTTTCTTGTAAAATCGCGTAACAAAATCCAAATGATATTCCCCAATTTTCAGCATGCCCCTTATGATCTTCGTGTCACTTAAAAATGACTTCAAAGAATTAAATTAATTAAACACAAAATCGCACGCTACTAAGCACGTTAATCAATAAATAATAATCCGGGTCAAAACTATGATCATGATTTACTACAGCATATGAAAAATGAGGCATCGAATTTTCTTATTGACAACAAACCCTGCATGGTAGTTACGAGGGCGGTTCGATAAGTACTTAGCCTACAAAAGAAAAACGAAAAATTTGGAAAAGTGGCGATTTATTTTTCAACATGTCTTTTTAGGTCCTTCTTTAACCCGCCTGAAAAATACGTTTTCTCGAAGTCTGCAAAGTAGGCCCCCGTGGCGGCGATCAAATTTCTGCCCGGCGAGTGACTTTTTAAAATTTGGAAACAAAACCACGGACACGGGGCAAATACGGTGGATGGATTAGCAGTTCTTAGCCCAATTTGGCCGTTGCGACGGCGGAGGTGTGACCCGGTGCGTTGTCATGGTAGTCTTCGCCAAATGGGGCCGTTTTTTCTTCAATTGTGTGACCGTTTTGCTCTCCTCCAGGTAGTCGGTGGAGATCACACCTTGTGAATCCCAGAAAACAGAATTAACCTGCATTGTCTTGTGAGACTACGAGTTTTCGGGTGGAATGTATAGACAGTAATAATTTTAATTATAGAAGGTTAGCCATAAAGGCATGGCACACCCAAATTGCATCCATTTAAATAAGACACCCTGTACACTATTAGGGATTTCAATTTATCTCGCAATTTTAAGGAAAATGTACTACCTACCTAAATTCACTGATGATTAATTATTAACTTCAGTGTTTTATTATAGGTAATCAGGATCTAATATTAGCTTCATAATAATATTTCAGATTCTTTGTCTGAAAGCTTGATAATATCAAGAAACCAATTTTCTTTTCAAAACATAATGAATTAATCGAGAGTTTTCCGCTATAAATACGATTTAACTCTACGCCATTTTGTTTTTTGATAAACTTCATTTCAGATTCTGAATCAGTAGCCTCAAAAATATAAAGTAGTATAAAGTAGTTTCTTAGGGTTTGGATCGAATTCTTGTGAGCAAATTTATTGAGGAGAATAGACACACACACTAAAAGTAGTTGTAGACGAACGTTTCGGGGACAAATTTGCAGAGGGTGAGGGTGAATCATTCAGATGCAACTCGACAGGCGAATATTCCAAATTGATAGGCGAATGTATCTAGAGACGAGTTTTTTTTGGAAAATTCCGCTAATGCGAGAACGAAGGTTTATTGAAAGTTTCTGCAAGGAGCGAATTTTTATCTGCGGCGAGCTCTTTTAGGGAAAATATTGCAGAGGCGTATTCTTAAGAGCAAAAATGAGCGATGTATCTGAGCTTTTTTCGGAGCGAATAACAATTTTTATCTGCGGCGAGCTCTTTTAGGGAAAATATTGCAGAGGCGTATTCTTAAGAGCAAAAATGAGCGATGTATCTGAGCTTTTTTCGGAGCGAATAACACGAGGAAAAGTTTTAGGCGAAGTGTTAATGCTTCCGATTTATAATCGAATTTAATGCGAGCATACAAGGAAAATCTTCCTAGCACGAATATTTTATGAAAGTGAGTTTTTGTAAGACGTGAATTTTTAACTGGATCAATTTTCCATATTATTGTCGCGAACAGTTTCTTGTGGGTGAATTAACCTACATTGGACGAATGCGAATATTCCAAAATTTTTGGAAAGTTTGGAGTGCTATGCCTTTATGATCGATCATGTATAATTAAAATTATTACTGCCTATAGTACGCAATGAAGAACCCCAAGACCTTCGTATAACACTTTTTTTCGATATCTTGTATATTGTCCTCGATAATCGACCGTTTCCAGACTCATCGGCGACCCTGCATTTCGACAAAGATTACCCCAAACACGAACTTTGGCGAGGCACTAGCTTTTTCGGAGGAATATTCAAGAAATTGTCCTGGGCGTTTTTTTGGGCAAAGAATATTGCTGCATATTTTGCACTATTTTCCCATTGTTCATGTTGCAACGGAATTGAACGCGAATGTAAGGAAAAAATATTCTGAGGACGAATACACCAAAGAAGAATATTCCGGGGATGAATAATTAAAAGGAGAGTTTTTCAAAACAAATCTGTACTGAATGTATTTGAAGAGATTTTAGTCTGAGGGCGAATTATAATAATATGACGAATAAGCTCGCGAATAATGGATATTTATTTTTGTTATCGCATTTTGCCATAGCATGTAATTATGTTTCGTATTTTTGTAAAAATTGTATTTCCGTTGAATAAATAAATAAATTGCACTCACAACATAAATATCTTAATCATCAGTTATAATTAGAATACTCGCAATAAAAAAACAATTAATTTTAAATTCTCACAATAAAAAAACATAGTACATTCGTTTGAATACATAAAATCTCATACACAAATTTTATTTATTAAGCAGCAAGAGTATTGCCCATAGAACAGAAAAGAAAGATTTCCAACTTCTATACTAAAAGCTTTGAATTTTTATATTCAAAGCTAAAAGGATTCGGTACGGTTCAGAGGACTGAAATGCCAGCTTGAGGACTAAACCGTAAAAAAGGTATTATTCTTGTAAAAATGGCTCTATATCAGATGACTAACTACATGGGAATGTCAAACTGACAACACGAACAAGTAACAATATGGCATAATTTTGTTTAGATATGTTTTAATAATAGTAATGTTATCTAGTGGACTTTACATACACTAGGTACACTTTGTCCCACATTCCACTACATCATGCGAATCCATTTTGTTACAAAAATACGGGAGTTTGTTAATAAACTACCATAAAGACCTTCAGATTTTCTATAAGCCACACTTATTCAACCCCAACCGTGGGTCTTCTTAAGACGATTGTTGAAATCCTTAATTTTAATATGCCGAGGTTATGTAAATAGATAACAAGCCATTATTTTTCAGTACAAATAATTGGAGATCTGGAGGGTTTTTTTGTCTTACAGGAATAATTATACTGGGTGTAAGGTTTACGAAAATTTCAGATCAATATTCTGATATTAAATTTGGCATCTGGGAATCTTTGAGCATGAAAATATATCAAAAAACAGTATAAAAATAGACCCCTTTTAAAAGTGCATAGTTTCAACATTGGCATAGTTAATAAATCCTTGAGGAACGAATTCATAATTTCGGCGTTTCTTTGATATTTGCGACGATGAGGTAGCGAGGCAACGTTAAAATCACTTAATTAGAAAAGTACCTAATTACCACCTGTGTTTTTTTAAAGGGGATCCAAATCGTAAGTGATTTCTTATAATTACTCATAATGTGGCCTTATTTCAATTGATTCTCACAAGCAAAGTTGTTGAGAAATGGAAAAACAGATGTTGTTTTGTAAGTTTGAGGTCCGCGGATAACTATTCCTGTTGGGAATCGTCTACATTTAATTGAATGAAAACAAACAGAAACATTCACGAGATATACAGTACCGTCCATTTCTTTTCTCTTGTGAATTGTTACTTTGGAACCTTGGTCATGGACAAAGTCGGCATGTAGGCGTTTGAATTTGCCCATTGAACTTGGGAGGTTCAGTAGTCAATTTTGCTATATATTATAATACGTAGTAATTAAAAGGGAAGCTCAAGTGTTCAGTTGTTTTGTCCTAGATTTGAGGGTAAATTTGTGCTCGAAGGGAATGAAGTGATACTTCAGTTGATACATCCTGGTTCTTGGCAATGAAACTAGGATTACGATTCCATTTTTGGGGACACACCAGAATCTAAAAACCATCAAAATACTTATTATCCTACAGGAACACATCGAATTCATTTCGACCATGTTAGTTTTCGAACAGTGCACATCCTTCGTAAGGACACCAACTTGCAAATTAGTACCGGTTCGCAAGTAGAAAGAAACCTTGAACTGGTATAGCATAAAGATGAATGAAAAACTGAAAAAGTCATCCGTTTATTACCTTTTTAGTTGTGTAAACATATGCATCACATACCTACATCTTTAATTTGCTCTAGCCGGAAAACGATCATAAAAATAAACGGAAATAAAGTCAGTCAGAGTTAAATATAAACATATTTTTAATCGAATAATCTCGTTATATGAGATGATTACAAAACCGCAATAGACATTTAAAAACGCGAAGGCGCACCAAAAATGTATAAAGAAAGTAATTCCATGAAGAAAACCGCAAAAATTATCGTACAGCTAATTTTGCCATGTGATTTATGGACACGTAGTTCGAGAGGTATGGATTGTGGCGTCATTAATTGGGGACGGGATGTACCAAACCGCCATTAATGACGACGCATAA